CCACTCAATTATAATAATCACTGAACCGCTCAAGATCGATGCCGATCAATGAACACGAACCATTGTGAATTGTGGTAGAATAATGAATGGAAAACTGATGTGACTGAAAAATGAATATTATAATGGTGATAAGCTGGTTAAACGGCTGGTAATAGCACATTTTAGTCTGACATATTTGTGCTGTTTCGAACGCACCACGATCACTTTAAACGTCAATGTAAGTTATGAAAAGCACTATTGCAAAAAAGTATTACGATATAAGTAATTTTTTTTTTATTTTTAAAACAGCAACTTGCCACATTTTATGAGAAAATCGGAGTGATAACATTCACAGACAGTAACATTCAGGTTCAAGTGATCTTCTTCAATATGACATACATGTCTCATGTTACCACACCTTTTTTAAAGCGACATATAAATATTTATATGTCGACATACATATTTATGCATTGCACATGCAGCTCTGTTCTACTCTATTATTACTTGTAGAACGTGTTAGGTGATCGTAAGTAAGCTGTGATCGCAAGTACTGTGATCATGTTAAGCGTTGGCAGTAGAATATGCACTGTCTGCTCTTCAATATGACGGTCTTGCAGAGCTTAGTTGTTGATCTTTAGTACTTTTGATAGCAACTGATCTTCATCTTAACTATTTCTGGCGATCTTGTTTACGCATCGAACGTTCGTTTGATCGGCGCACTTGCATATTTGGTGTAGAATCGAGGCGTTGCTGTGTGTCAAAAGTGTCTAGCGTGCTTGTTGCAGCAATAAAATGCTATGAAGCCTTGCAACTGCCTATTATTATTTGCCATTCGACAGCGCCGAATATTCTGACAACGAAGCTGCTTGAACTTGTTTGTGCATAAAATCATTTTCGCGAGGTCAGCTGGATTTATTGGTCACATTGTTGGTTGTGTGAATTTAAATAAAATACAATGGTTGAGGAATTTAATGTATTGGTAGGAAGATGGAAATCGTTAAGTTGGCTATATGTTGGCTAGAGCAAGATCTAGACCGATACCAGTCTACGCCATATTTTGAAAATAGTTCATAGACTCAGCGAATGCCGAATATATAGCATAAGGTCATCTAGAATAATATTTCGGTCGCTCTCATCAACAATATATATACAGTATATCCAAGATAATTTCTTGCCATAACCATAACAAAAATAATGACTAACTCAATTTTTAGCAGCAAGGCAAAAGTTATATAACAAATTCAGCGATACTTTTCTTCTTGACTCTATTGTCAGCCTGAGGCACTGATGTCCCCACTTTCGGTATCTGCGAAAAAATCAGATCTCGTTTGAAGGTATATCATATGGAAAGTAGGCGTGGTTGCAGTCCGATTTCGTTCAATTTCATTCTATATATACAGTTATATACTAATTTAAGTTCAGATTGTCCGAGACATTACAAAAATATTAATATACACCTAAAAGTAGGCGGTGCCACGCCAATTCATATACTTTTAAACTTTACAGTAAAATTTAATGATTTTGACATTGCGGATCAGTCAGTTATGGTGTCTCTAGTAATTTTCAACCGCTACAACTTGGAGAAAGGTGTGTATGGGCGTTGTTATTAACACATTTCCCCCATTTAGCGCCTTATCATGAAATACTAAATGCCAATATTCTCACCAAAAGTAGCACTCATTAAATTGCTTAATTAAATTCAAGTTGCAACTTCAACTTGGTGATGCCACTACATGTTACCGCATCAACACATGCATGCACAGAATTGCAATTTGTTGAAGCGATCTCTTAAATATGGCCATCAATCTTCTTCTGCTACGCACATATGTTATATACATATGTATGTACATGAATATGCATGTGTGCTTAATCCTAGATTGGCATTTTAAATATTATCTATGGAATATTGAACTGGTTGCCACCAAAAACAAAACAAAACAAAAAAAATAAATAAATAAATAAAGAAGCAAAATTATGTTGCAAAAAATTAGCGAACCGCAAAATACTAGTTCAAACCGCTTGTCAATTGTCACTATTACAAATGCTCCAGAATTTACTAATCTACAAACAGACATGTGTCTTGTGCCTACAAACTACCAGCCAGTAAGCAGTGGCGGTACGTGTTGCAGCTTGTGGGCGCACATGTTTTGTGGCAAGTTCATACCTACATATCTACATACATATGCACATATATTACTTACTTCTTTTACTTTTTCCCTCATTTGCTCCATTAGCGTTGTTTCGCAGCTCTTTATTTCTCTCGCCATTTGTGTGAAGTTTTCCGTGCTATCATGCTCGCTGTCAGTCTGCAGCGCTTTAAATGGCTTTCTTTGCCACAGCCAGCTACAAATGCAGAATTGTCGTGTACTTATTCCTTATTCTACTCATATGTAATAAGCTTATGCGGTCACTTGCTCTTTAAATGGTTCAAATATGTAGGCCAGCCAGTGCCATTTGAAGACTAGTTTTAGCCAAGAACTATTAAATAGACTTGTGTGTGATTGTGGATGTGTGTGTTGCATTGGCCATGCTTGATATTTAGCGCTAGCGCATCTTTGGCAGCTCAGATTGATATGTGTCTCCGAATACAGAAAATCTAGTGCGAGTATACAGAATAAGCGCATACTTGCATGTGTATATGTGTGTGAATATGCCTATATTTGTATGAATGGCAAGTATAAATATGGTGCGAACGCATATATATTTTTATCTATTTAGTTATCATTGGAAAAAAAAGTTTTAAATTAACAAAATATACATATAATACTTTTAATTCATTACTAATATTTTTATTTCAATGTATTTAAAAAAAAATAAAAATTAAATTATTTAAAACAAAATTATATTAATTATTATAATATTTTTTATTTTATACATAACTAATATTATAATTTTTATTGTTTTGCTTAATAAAAAAAAATAAAAAATAACAACAAAAAATATTTTAATATTTTTTTTTGTTTATATATATCTTCTATTATTATTTCTATATATTTTTTTAGTTTTCTAAAAATATTGCTTACTTAAAAAAATAAAAAATAAAAACAAGAAATATTTTAATATTTTTTTATTTATACATATGTAATATTATTATTTCTATATTTTGATTAATTAAAATAAATAAAAAATTTAAACAAACAACATTTTAATAAATTTTTTTTCTACATATTATTTCTATATATTTTTTTAGTTTTCTAAAAGGTTATGTCAATTAAAAAAATATAGAAAATAATGTTTTTTTTTATTTATATCTAATATTATTATTACTATATATATTTTTTTTTCTAAAAGGTTTGATTAATAACTTTTTTAATTTTCAGTAATTTTAGTATTTTTCTGGGTCTAAAATTCAGTGGATTATATTTATTTTAAATTTTTGTCTTTCATAAAATACATTATGTTCCTATTTTTTGGATAGTTTTATAAAAATTATAAAAATCTGAATTTCTTGTGGCGCAAATATGTTATTCATGTTATAAAAATTAGCTAAACTTTTGAAAAAATATACTATTAATAGATACATATTATGAAAACCAATTAAAAAAGAAAATATAAGCATTAAAATTAAATAAATAAGACATGAGTAAATAATTTAATTTTTTCAGGAATTTTCATACAAAATTTTATTTTTCAACTCTTTGAGAACTTTGCAAACTTCTAAAACTTGCATTTTTATATATTATATATATATATATAATTTTATATAGCTCTTTTAAGATTTCTAAAGCAACAATTTATTGTTTAAATATATTACCATATTTGTATTCCTTTTATAATAATTAATGTTTTTAGTTAAAATATGTGTTTTTTTTTAAGTAAAAACTTAAACTATTTCAAATTGAATAATAAAACTTATATAATAATTAATTAATTACAAAAATGTATAGGTTATTGTATCTCAAATGGCGATAAATTTTGCATTATTTTTAGGTTTTAAGTACAGCGGTATAAATTTACTGATTTTTTAATTTTTATATACCATATATGTATATGTTTTTGTAATTTTTCAATATTTTTTGCTAACTTTATTTTGTTTTCAAAAATATAATTTTTTTAATACATTTTTTTTTTGTAAATTAAAATAATTTTTTGATTTTAAAAATTAAAAATATTTGAAAATATCGATTACTCATTTGAATGTTGAAATTGTATTAAAAAAAGACAATTTTATAGTATTTTAAATTTTGATAAATTTTGCTTTCAGAATTTATATTTATTTATTTAATTTTAAAGGTAAATTTTCAATACACTTCCCTTACTTCTATATATGTATGTGTGCACTTGTGCTTTCTCCCTACGGTGATATTACTTTATCCTTAAACTGGCTAAGTCCACATACCGTTAGGCTCTTTAAAAGCTTTGTGAAACCAAACCGCATTCATTTAAAGCATCTAACAAACCCAGGAGTGTGAACGGTAATATTTTCACTACAATTGGCAACTTACATAATCTTAGAAAATAGTGAAAACCTGCAATTAAGTGCAGCTTGCTGAAAATAACAACAACCACAAACCAACTTTGTCAAATTGCAATCAAACACGAACTCTGTAATGCAACCAAATGCCATTGAACAGATTTGGGAACCGCTGAATTTCCTGCAACAATTAATTTGCACTTAAAATGACGTGTTTGCAACAAACCAATAGCGCAATGCGGGGCCAGTTGAAAAAATTGGCAAATGCGACAGAGGAAAATAGAAAACCATAACCAAAACCAAAAAATAAAAACAAAGATCAAGACAGAAACAAACATTAATTATCAAAGTACATTTGTCGCAAATCGAAGCGAAGGCGAGCAAAAACTGAAGAAAAACAAACACAATACAGCAGAAATCAAGATCATGCAGCAACAGCAACAAAAACAAGCTGCGGTGCTAACACTCCAACACCAAACAGCGGTGCGCAGCGAGTTGGAGTCAGTCGGCTGCTGCAAGAAGAGTAAAATAATAGCAAACACAACCATAAGCAACTAGCTTGCTGCCAATTGCTGCTAGCTGCTGCAGCAACAACAAGAGTAGTCGCAGAGCAAATTCATTGACTTTGTGCGCCGCAAATCTTCGCCTTTGAAGCGCAGCTTAAATCAGTCTTCGCAGCAGACTAAAACCGTGTGGACGTTTCCGAACAGGCGAGCGCTTCAATGTAAGTTTAGCGAAGTTTCGCGATTGCCGGGAGTTAATGTCAATAATGAAAAGTAGGGAGAGAATACCTTAAAGTAGCGCTTAGCGTTTATGGTCTTCACCGTTGCGCTATTGTTGCTGCGCTGAATCTTTTTGAACGCATATCGCCTGTTGTGATTTTTCGTACTTTGCCCGGCAACAACAAGCAAAGGCCGGCACGCATGTCTAGTGTTAATTTTCGCCACTTTTTTCGCTTGCTTTGCAAGTTATGAGCACTCGTTGTGCATGGTGTCACGCTGCGTTTGTTCGTGTTGGACGTGATAACATAAAGTGATTGTTTTGTGACAAATTTTGGACTACCGTTACAATGCGCTGGTGTTTAGCTTTCAAAACTGTTTGTTTGGGACTTTAAGTGTTTGTCTTTGAATAGCAAAAAATTGGGAAAATACAGAAAGCAAAATAAAACATGAGAAACAGTGTGTAACTATGTGGGATTTAGTCAAAAACTTTGCAGTTTTGTGTAAAGAAGTTTATAAAAATACTAATAAAAAAAATATTTCTCCAAATTTATTTGATTTTGTGATTGAACAGCTATTTTATCAACCACCCTGTGCACGCGATCATCGTTTGTAATAAAACTGTTTTTAAAACCGTTAATTGTTGTACAGAAACCAAACGACTATTCTTCTCTACTACAAATCATGTCAAACCTAACCTTAATACGTAGAGACCACTTATTTTTTGATGTTCCCTAAGCTTAATTTGTCAAGAACACTATATTGGACTATTTGAATTGTTTTTTTTTACACGAACCTCAGCCCACGACGGATAGTATATATATGGAGCTTTTTCTAAGGGATCAATGTTGATCAAAGTGTTGACGGAAATTTAGTTCTTCAGAAACTTATTTTCTACAGTAATGAACGACAAAGTGCAAAATAGGCAAAAAATACTGCTTTAATGAATTAGATACTTACATCCAAGTAAAACTTGAGAGAGAACATCGATGAGGGGCTCAAATGGCTTACTCCTTCGATGCTCCGATAAATATATACTCTTTACCAGAACTTAGCGACCGCTTCAGGCGAAATGGTTTCGAACTTAGCTATCACATGGTGGGAATCAGGTTCGAAACCAGAACGAAGTAGAAAGGGAAATTATAGAAAATGTTTTTCAAATACGGTCACCAGCAGACAAATTCCAGCTTTTAAGTATGTGATACTAAAACGCATTAACAATTATAACAAATCGGCTATTTAGAGAAAGGTTTGTAAACGAAAAAGTGCAGTTAAACTGATGATTCACTCTATGACTGAGTCATTTCTCATAACTGAGTTATTGTCACTGCTATTGTAATGCAAAAATATCTGTCAGTGTTCTTAAAAGAAATCTCTAAATGTGAGTGCGAACCGCTAATCAGTCAAAATAGCACCAAGGCGCTGTGCATAAATCGCCATAAGAACCAAATTCAATAAGGTGTTAACTGCGCATGCGCGCAGCTTTCAGCGCTACCAAATGCTCACGATCTGTATGTTATGTATATATGTATACCAGTGTGTTCGCCTACAATGAACTTACGCGACGAATGCGCCATATGAAAGATTTGCATATGAAAAGACACAAATTCCTACAACAACTTCGCTTTGCAGCTTTTTTCTGCATTTTCTTTGGCGAAAGACTCTGCAACGGATTATGAATTCTTACTCATACTATAGGTATATTAGAAAATTTTGTTTGTACAGCTGTCCATTAGATAGCCAAGATAGCGGTGAACTAGAATTTTTCAAAATAGAAATGGAGTTAGTGAAAGAGTAAAACAGGAGAAAATAAGCTAAAAAATTTAATATATAAATAAATAAACCGGAAAAAGAGAGTTTGAAAGAAAATCGATCGCTGCATACCTTACAAATTGTGCAGCGTTGAAAACATATTTTTGTACACATACTATGTGTAGTATTGCAAATACAACAGCTACAGTGTGCGCATGCGCAACTGCATTCTTAATGCAGCCGATTTTATAGAAATGCATACCACGTTAAATGGCTGGCATATTGCTGCTGGCGGCCTGGTTAACAACTAGCCGAAGCCGAATACGACTACGTTGCGGCCAAATGACCACGACAATTGGCCGTTAGAAAAGTGATGTAAAAACTTCAACTCGAAATTAAGCCGAAGTGTAATGGATATTAAATTAATACAATAGTACAAGTTAATATTTGTATACATACTACCGGTAAAATAACTAACTTGTATGTTCGAATTATTTTACGAAAAAATATAATGGCATAAAATTGTAAAATAAGCAAAAAATATTAAAAAATAAATTTTTTCTTTATTTTGCTTTCTTAATTTCCTAGCTAAAATTGAATTCATTGTATAAACAAAGATTTACATATACATACGTAATTTGCATGACTAATTAATTATGTGAAGGTTCTTCCAAAAACAATAAGATTGTTAACAAAAGAATTATAAAAACTAGCATAATTTTAGCAAAGGAGAAGAGTTAAATTTCTTTGCAAAGGTGCGAATAGTATAGAGAAGAGAATGGAAATTTTACAAATACCGTTTTTGACAGCTGATTTTGCAAGCGAATTTTTTTTTTAAATCTGTTTTCGCAACAAAGAACATTTATAGAGATAATTTTTATAGCGGTATTTTATTTGAAATTATTCTTAAGAGTACTTAAATACTTTTACATAACAAACATTTTTCAAACCATAAAAATGTTATTAGAGAATTGAAGAAATGTTTAAATGACTTAAGATTTTTAAAATAAATAAATAAAAAATTTAATTAGAATAATTTAAATGTGTTTATATGCTTTTTACTTTTTATATTGAGTCTATGCGTTGTTTTATAAAAAACAATTTTTATTACAAAAATAATATCAAAATTTCAATTTAAAATTTTTATTATTTTTTATGAAAATAATTTTTTTAAGTAAAAACAATAGTTTTGACAAACAAATGAGACATAACTTTAGTTTACTCAAAAATGAATAAAAATGTTTTAAAATTTTTTTTTTTATATAATAAAAGATGTGTATATAAATGATCAGCGCCACAAGCTAAGTCGATTGAGTCATCTCAGTTCTCTTTCTCCCTCAGTTTTTGAAATATCGAATTTAAATTTTGCAACCGTCCTTTTCTAACCAAGAATCATTTGTCGAAACGGCTGATAACGAACCACTATAGCCTATAACTGCCATACAAACTGAATGATCGGAATTAAGTGCTTGTATGGAATACATTTGCCGAGATGTCTTTTTCAAATATGGCATGGGTTATTGTCCAAAACAACGGCGCAATCTCCGAAGACATTGTTCAGATCGGATCACTATAGCATATAGCTTTCATACAAACTGACCGCTCAAAGTTGTCTTGAAATTTTTAATTCTTAAGACTCTCTTCAGTTTTTTTTTTAAATTTTTATTTTATTTATTTTTTTCGTTTTCCAATATTTTTGGGTATTAATTCAATATCAGTATCAATTTAAATAAAAATTGACTACAAACTTCTTAACTGTCTTTTTATAAAATTTATTTTGTTTAAAAAAATGTATACTATTTTTATAATTGACAAAGCTTATTTTATTTTTTTTTTTAACTTTTTTAAATAAATTTGCTAAAAAATGTATACTATTTTTATAATTGACAAAGCTTATTTTATTTTTTTTTTTTAACTTTTTTAAATAAAATTGTTCTGAAGTATTTTTTGCATTAGTCTGAGCTCAATAGACTATAAATTTCTTGAATTCAAAAACATTTCGTTAATTTTTTTATATATTGTTATTTTTATTAAAGTTTTAGAGGAGTTATATAAAGATGTTATTATTTTAATTTTATATAATTTAATATACATTTTTTTAAACTAATTATCTATTATTATTTTTATAAAGGTTTTTGAGAAGTTGCTTAAAAAACTTTATTTTTTAGTTGTTTGTGTAATTTAGCAAATTTATATAACATTTTAGTTTCTATAAGCTCGCAAACATGTTTTTGAATAGTTTACACTTACAATTTTGTCAAAAAACTTGGTGCGTGTCGCTAATTAAAGAATGTCAAAATTAGGCGAAAATATTTACCAAAAAGAAAATAAACAATAATTGAATAACCCCCAAAGCAGTGAAAACACTTTAACTAAACATTATTGATGTTTATTAGCCTTCAGCGTACGCTTAAAGCACTAAAATTAACAACACAAAAGCTAAAAAAAAAGTAAAGTGTACTCGCATGGCATTCTTTTGTTTATATATATATGTAAGTGTGTATGTTCTAATGAAGTACTAATTATCTCAACGACTTTCTTTCAATTTAAGTTTTCGCTACTTTATGTGTGTGTTTGTGTGACATAAAATTTTTTATGAATCTGGCAACTCGCTTCCAAACATAATTGTGTGTGCCAAAATTATAAATAAATAAGTGGTTATAAAAATAACAACAACATGCGTATTAACATCAACAACAATTGATAGATTTCTATAGACAAATTTTGTGTAATTTAACCCATAAACAACGTGCAAATACAAAAGTCTCAGTGAAAGATTTAAACGAAAACTAAGCGAAACAAAAATCACATAAAACTCCTGTTATCAGCAGTGTTGCCATGGCGCTGCTTTAAGCCGTAGTAGGTGAGTAGTGTGTGAAATTTAAGTGTTTCAATTTGTTTTTTTTTTATATGGCATCATTGTCCACTCTTCGTAAGCTGATATCACGAAAAGTGATAGTAAAACTTTGTTTTTCTCTACTTCTTTTACTGACTTTCAACCCACAACAACTCACTTTCTGGCCACTTTTTAATTTATTTTAGAGCAATTAGGCGCTAATAATAGTGTTGGCAAATGTAATTGCTGTCAGCACAAGATTGCGGCAACAACAACATGTGCGTTTTGTTTCATGGTCAAGCATGTGCCTACACAAGTGTCTGTATGTATGTGCGCCCGCTTGCTTTCATTTATATTTATAGTTTTTTTTTATAAAAAAACAAAAATAAAAGTATGCAAATTGTCATGCAATACATAATACATAATTATTTTGTCAGCATTTTTATGGGTGAAGCAAAATATTGTTTATAATTTTAATAGTAATAAACTATATGTTGCATATTGCATATATGCATGTGGCGCTTATTATATAAACAAATGTAATAATCATCACTTGTTACTTATTAACAACCATGAAAAGTCTTATATCGTACAATCAAGTAAATCGTTAAAAAACCACGCTCTCATCACAAATCAATTAAATGACTTGCAACAAAAGTAAAAGTGGCACTTTGATGGTGCATTGGCCCCCCTTATATGCGTGCATTGTTCGAATGCGCTTGCAAACATGAGCATAAATGCCTCCACAGGAAATGCAAGCGTATCCACGCAAGTGGCTGTATTATTATTTTTATGGCTCATTTTTTACGATTCCGCAAAAATTAGTCGTGTTGTGAAATGATAGGATTGTGGTTAAATTAAAGACTATTCTCCGTTGAAAGCTGATAAAAATTCAAATAAAATTCGCGTGAAGTATAATAACTATGAAAATCAACCAATTCATATCGCAAGTAGATAATAAAATGTTTGCACATCTCTACACGTTTATTAACAAAGAGTTTAGCAATAAACAGAAGCAGATAACAACTGTGATCACAGCATAATATTAGTTTTTTAAATGTATTTTGATACTTCTACTATTTTTTCTGAAAATTACGCATAATCATTTTATAAAATTATTACTTAATTTACTTTAATCGATATATCCGATTAATTTTTTCCACTAAAATGTTCCTAAATTTTCAGCTAAACTTGTATTTTACTTTTTTACTTATTAAAATGACATTTAAATATTTTTACCGCAATCGATAATCGAATAGATTTTTTCCGACAAAATTGTATTCCGCTCCTACAATTTATTGAACTCAAATTTGTGTTTTATTGAATTATTTATACATTTAATTATCGATTTTAAATGATATACATATGTTTTATTTGACCGATTTTATATTTTGTGACAAACATACATGACTGACACTGTTATTTTATAAAATTTTTTCTTTAATTGTGGTTTTCGATTTCTTGACTATAATTATAATATATATAAATATATTTATATTTTCAAAAAGTATTTTTTAATCGAATATATCGATATTTCAATTTTTTATCGATATTTTTTCTGATGGTATATTTCATAATATATTTCATGACAATTATACATGAATGACACTATCATTGTGTAAAGTTTTATCGACAACTGTGGTTTTCGATCTTTACAATATTGATATATTTTTATAAACATATGCTTTCCGATATTCATATTAAGTAAGTATTTTTTAAGCGAATATATCGATATTATCATATTTTTATCGATAATTTATGCACTAGTAAAGCGGCCTTTGTTTATATTTATTGATATTTTTATTTTCGAACATGCATTTCGAACGTTGCAATTTACCAGAATTGTGTTTTATCGTTACTTTTTCCTTCTCATTTCGTTTATATAATATATGTTATAAATATATGCACATACATGTGTGTATATATTTTGAAATATATATATTGCCACTTTCATTTATATTATATTCGAAAGGCACAGCACATATATATACATAATATATATAATTCTAAATGTATCGATAAAATGTATATTAATTTATCAGCAAAAATTATATCGATATTTAATCGACTATTTTGAAAATATTACTCATTCCGCACATTCTAAATTTTTGTATTTATTGATAAAAAATTATTAGCATTTTATGTGATAATTATCGATATTTTTATGTTTGTTGGATATATAAATGGAGTTGTCATATTTATATTAAACTTACGTTAGAAAATGTTTTATTTTGAAAATAATTACTAAAAGCATTTAAATAAAACTTAAAGTAGGTTCAAAATTGTATGATTCCCATGAATGAAATATGATTTGTAAAATATTTTTAAATTTTTATCATAATACAATCATCTGCGGATTTACATATATCATAACCGCAAAACAGCAAAACATCCGTTGCCTTTAATTACACCTTGCTACGCCCGCATTGCATCCACTTACAACACATACATACATGTATGTTAATGCTGTTGCAAAACTGTTTTTATAGTGACATTAAATCTCCATGTAATATTTTATTTTCACAATTTTCACATGGCATGCTCATTTGAGTCAAGCGATCGGTGAAAGTCGGACTAATCAATGTGCTATCGGTGTGGACTCGTTGTTAGTAACATACCATACATATGTACATGTAAACATACTTGCAACGCTTGGTTGATTTGTCGGTTAGGTTTGGCTTGTTTGACCGCTGCCAGTACCTTTGTCGCCTAGATGAACGTTCAATGATCTCTTTTCATTGAACGTTGCACAAATAAGCGGCCATATACTTGTATGCGCTTATATAAATATATATGGATATGTTTGTATGCATATAATTTGAATTGCAAGCCAGTTGCAATTGCGCTTTGTTTTGCTGACCAATGAAGCGGGCATGCTGCAGTTGATAAAGTTGTACGGTTGATGTGATTTTTATGTTGGCTCAAATAAACTCGCGTACAAGTAACTACATACCGATCCACATTGGTATGCTTTGAAGGCATTTCCAATGAAAAAAGTGACTGCGGCATATGTTTATAGGCTTTTCCACTTATTTCGACATATTTGAACCAGTTCAACGCAAGGAGAGTAGTCTACATGACTACGTCCTTTTTCGACGCATTTATTTCAGGAATTTGCTAGTGTCAGCTACGAGTTTTACATGTGTTAGATAATCTGACTAAAAATATTCACTGCTGGTGGCAAACTCGTACATCCAATGGAGGAAACATATTGCTGCGGTAATAAATAACTTCCTCTTCCAATTGACATGTTGCTTATATCAGAGTAGTGCAGGAGTAATAGTGAAACTAGACTGGAAAGATCATGTGGCGCATATTGTTGTTCACGCACTTTTTGTTTATAAAAAGAATTTCAAGTATAGATTTGGTATAAAGCTTACACAGGTATTTGGACGAAGGCACGAGTAACAAGCAAAAATGTTAACTGCTCTGAAGCTATAATCTTTTTTCACAGGTGCAATTTCTTATAGCATTAAAGGGTATAATATAAGATCTTCAACTTGATTTTGATCGTTTAGTTTGTGTGGCTGCTATATCCTATAGTGGTCTGATATCGGCGATTGAGACAAATGAACAGCTTCTTGAGCAGAAAACGATGATTTTCAGATTGATATCTCAAAAAATCAGGGACTAGTTCGCGTATATACAAACAGAGAGATGGACATGCCTAAATCGACTTAGCTCGTCATGTTAATCTTTTATCTATACAAGTGTACAGACTTTATAGAGTTTCCGACGTTATTTTCTTAGTGTTACAAAATTCGTGGCAAACTTAATATACCCTATTCAGGGCATTAAAAAGAAAGTAACGGATTGAAAAGGAAAGAAAATGGGTGGAAAAGTATAAAAGAGACAAAGTACGACACATTTGGAGATGAAAGAATAAAATATATTAGGATTATCTAATTTTAAATAAGGTTAGGCTGGGATAGGATAGGTAAGCGGATGCTAGATGGCGATAGATTGGAATAGTACAGGTGAGGAGAGGTTGGAATAGGTAAGGATACAATAAGATAGGTTATGATATAAGTAAAAGAAAGGCAAGCAAATGAAGGAGAAAAGAGACGGCATAACAAATGAAATAAACTAGTAGTAAAGTGTAACGAATTTGTAAAATAAAAACGTGTTGGAAAAGGCAATTTTAAAAGAAAAATATCAAAAGAAAAATCCAAATCGCTGCAATACTTTACTATAGGTATATATATAGTATTATATATACACATACAGAGACTTACTACAAATAAATAATTATTAAACTAACAGTGCCGATTTCGAGTTTTACGTGCCATTACCATTTCGCTGCATTTATATTTCAATATTATTGATTTATAGCCACTTTACTGCAGAAATTGATGCCAAACTTCTTTTATGAATGTAGTTAGCAGCAGGAATTTGCCTTTGAAATCAACAAAAATTACTTCAAGAATTTTTATGAGCACGTAAATGGAAAAATTATAAAAAATATACACAACTCGTGGTTAGAGCATACGTTTTACTTCTGCGAGGCTATGCAAATAGTTTTCTAAACTACATAAAATGCCATAAAACAAACGCTAGAAGCCGGAACATGCAATTAACTGTACACAATAATGCGCATGTGTATGCAGCAATTGATCATTTGCTGTGGAATGATAATTATAAGCATCATTATAAACTCACACGAATGTATAAGCGAAGTGTGAGTGTGTGAATGCTGCAAGGCAAGCTTTGTGTTCCGTATTGCATCTTAATAAGAAGCCGCCGGGGCTCACCGGCGAGGCAGCATTGACATACATTTTATTTTTATTTTGCTGCACTGCTGTTCCATGCTGCATATACATACATATATATATGTGAATATAATAAAGATATATACATATGTAGAATAATAAAAGAGAAGATTTATGACCGAAATTGCCGTTGGCAGGCTTGCAGTGGCAGTTATGTTAGCGGCCAAGTGTATTGTGTGGCAAGTGTTGCATGTTAACGGTGGTGTTGTGGCGCGGAATACAATAAGTGTGGACTCTTGACAGTGAAATAATCATTAAAAGGCTGCTTTGCCAAATTATTGGCCATCAATTCAATGACATGAAGGAAATGGCCATACGTGTGCATAGATACAATAGCCGCAAAATGTAATCTTTTTCCTAAAAAATACAGAATTACTTGTATTCCAATGATAATAACACCAACTCTATGCTTAATTTGTTATTACTCTTCATTGCTTGCTGCTGATAAAGCTGTTGCCGACGCTGTGAAATACCACAACAATGCCTGTGTGTCAGAGGTTAGTGCGGCTTGTTAAACTTTCAACGCCAGCTTGACCGCTCACCTGAGTTTCAGCTGAGTGATAAATGAGCTGTACGTTGAAAAGCGTGTCACTGCAGCAAATGAGCTGCCATTGTTTGAACGCTATTGTCTTGCATATTACATGTCAACTTTTACCAATATTCATATATACTTACATGCATATATATGTGTATGCAAACTGCAAAGATTTTACTTTTCAAATTTCCATTTCTTCAGATATATTTTAGACACTTTTCATTTTCATTTTCTATTGTCTATAAGTTGACATGTGTTTTTAAATACAATTTTTTATCTTAAACGATTAATAAGTATACATAATTGTACATATATACTAAATTGACACAGCGCGTTGACCCAGTCTCCGCATATGAGTACATCTCTATTCCTTACAACAATTCATTTCTACTAGTAAGTTGCCGGCTTGTTGCAAGCGTTGCAGCTAGACAAGTTTTCACGTTTTTATATGTATATGTACATACAATATGTTACTCACACAAACAAAGTCTCCTCGAACTTTAGTGCTACCTTTAGCCAATTCTCATTCATTTCACATTAAACTTCTAAATCCGCCTTTGTATGCTGCGCAGTCTCAAACACCGCTTTAACTACTGGAGGCCATCGCGCTTTGTGACATTGTTTCTCCGTTTGTTTATTGCTTGTCTTTCAACAATAGCGTGAATTTTTTTCTTCTACCAGCTTGAAAAACTGCTGCTGTTTTGTAATCACAGCGAATTGCAGAACACTTTCTAATGTTTGGAATTTTCCATAGTCGAATAGTTATTTGTCGCTTAAATTTGACCTAGAATATGCAATATATAAGAATAACCTTTTTAAATCTTTGCAATTTTTCTTTTTCAATAAATATGCATTTAGACTACGACTTAAATTTTTATATGATTAAAATGAGTTTATTGTTCTAAAAGTATGTAGACCAATAAATATATATCTCTAGAGAACAAAACAAAAAACGATAACTTTAACAGGTTCGATGCTATAATACCTTTCACCGGTGCATTTTTTTATAGTATTGTATGAAAGTATAAAAAGCTCTTTATTTTGGTTTTGATTTTTCAATTCGTACAGCAGCTACTTGCTATAGTGGTCCGATCTAACCAATTTGTTTGAGGATTATAGTGGTGCATTGTATAACAATCTATGCTAAATTTAATGAAGGTTCCTTGTCAACAAATAAGGAGCTTCTTAAAGAGAATTGTTCAATTACAACTATTTGAAAATCGAGGAAACCCATGTAACCACTTAAGTATTAGATGAAAATATAGTTATATACATTTTTTGATTACGCATAGTGTAATCCGAATTTTGACCTATGCATGTCTACAAAGGGTAATAAAATTTATATGTGATATGGCATATATCATAGAGATATTGTATATCATAGCTATTAATACCATATCTTATATAAATTTTCATCATTAGCTCCACAACGCGGTGCGTGTCTTCGCTTGCAGCAATTTAGTTCTTCAATTGTTTTTGTCTCTTGCTTGAATTCTCCCCAGTGGTCCCCACTATCAATCTAACTAAGTTTTGCTCTGTCTGCTCCTTTTATTTCTGCATCTGCCCAGGAGAATTTGTTTAGGAAGATAGTTTTCATCGGTGCGAATAATATGACCAGTCCAACGTAGCCTGTATAAATTTTATTTTATTTAAACATTAAAGAAAAGTTTGAAATTAAAAAAGACAGGCTTGCGATTTTTTTATGCAGAAAATTATGTGAGTACAATGTTACAATTTTTATAAAATTTCTTTCATTAGTTTTCAAAAATGTTATTAATTATATTTATATTAATTTGTTTTCAAAAACTATTATTTTAATTGTACTAAAACCTCCTCACTCTTACCAACATTTACACATATTTCTCTTCACATTTCATTCAAATCATTCAAATCTAATAAATTTCCATCTAAAAAAATTTTCCTGTCACCATATGCATATTGTTACGTTTATTTGCATTCGTCTAAATAGATAATCACAAATTTTAAAATTTTTTCTGACGTAATTTATATGCTAATCAACTCTTAAGAGCATATTTACCTAGAAGATCGGTTATTAGGAACCTGTTTATACATAACTTCTTTACTCCAGCTAACTTAATTGTGAATTATTTCTACATACTTCGTGTAAAACACTTAGCAGTTGTGACGTTCTCTTGGCGATCTTGTGGCCGCCGCAATTAGATGAAGATATTGAAGAGTGTTGCAGACTTACACATTTGTTATATAATGACTATGTGTGTGCACGCCAATCGAATAGTTTAGTAAACAAGTAGGTAAACTTGCAGCAAAAACAAGATTTGCAGACCATTAATATTTTCCGCCGCCGCTGTACTTTTTTTTCTTATTTTCTTCTTTTTCCTGCTTTTAATAAAAACGTGTTGTGCTGCTGGAGACGTGATAAGAATTGAGGTTATCGAGGCATGTTTGATTTATGAAATTGGGTTGCAGATCTTGTGAGGCGGGCATTTGTTATAGCAAATAACTATAACAAGAAAAATGTATTAATGAACAAAGTGCTTGTAGAATGCGTGTGCATATAAGCTTTGCTTAGCAAACCTCAGTTTGCCTCACCCTTTAAAAAATACTCGTTTGTTGCTATTTGGAGCACTTTACCAAGTGATGGCTTGCAATTAACGATGCGAACGGATACATTTATTATTGGACTTGACTGATTATGAGCAATTAGTTGCTCGTGCAGTTGCCCACTCATATGTGTGACTTTAACTTGTTGTTGTACAAAACTTCTATGTTAAGTTACGGCTTAGAATTCGATATAGATTAAACAGGCTTACATAATTAATTCACTTTAAATGTAGCACAATGAACTTAGCCTTATAACTTGTTAATGATTTTTATGCCGCATGCATTCATTTAAACCCAATTATGTTATATAACTATTAGAAAATCGGACTTTAATCACGCCTGTTTGCAATAAAACACCATTTAAAATTTCAATTTCATTATTTGATTTTACAATAGATAAATCTAGAAAAAATTTAGATTTTGAAACAAATCTTCCGCAATTAGTTTTTTTATAAGTGGCAACTCTTATTTTAAAACGAGCGATATTGGTAAATAGCACTACTAGGTCCCAGAAACCGAATATAAGCATCTTCATGCCTTCTACGATTGACTTAATAACAAAAATATTGCTCATTTTGTCAGATATCTTTATGCAATTCAGTGGATGTATTTTCCTCATAATATTGTAAACTTATGATTAAATAGAAAAAAATCGGTTTAGTTCTGCCTCTAGTCCCCATATAACTTATATAATGACTTTCTTACTTCCGTTTAACTTATTACAGTATATATAGCTTCATGTGTAAAATATTTGAACAAAGTTGAGTTAATGTATTTTTTTATATTCTTGCAGCCTCTTGCTATGAAGTATAATAGTTAGATATATTGTAGTTTTGTGCCAAAAATCGGAGAAATCAGTCCATACTTTCACCTAACACTCACATACCAACAGAAATGATTTCAGACATCACCGGTCATGACTTCAAAATTTGTTGAGAATAACAAATTCAGGCAAATATATCGCCATTTTTCAAAAACCTACCGTTATTAGAATCTGAGTGTGTATTTTTTGTTTGGTTCCGTCCGTATTTCTTACTCGCTTCTCTTTACTGCTTACTCGTTCAGATCATATGACATTAAGTCATAATCCAAGTATGAAATTAGTATTTGATTTGCCTTGATCATAAATGTGTTTACTTGTTTTTGCTTCCATCACCAAATGCTCTTGCATCACATTTCAATAACTGTAACTCTTCGCAATGAATACCAAAACACTTCTACTTTATTTTGATCTTTAGATAGTCACTGAGTACTTTATAATTTCAGGTTTTTTTCAATCACTCCACTTTTTTGTTGCTGCGTTCACCAAGCATGTGCGTCGTAATCGTCATAATGACCTCTTTTCTGCATTCACTACGGCGTTTAAATATTATTTACACATATATTTGTATTTGAAGAAAAAACTGCTGTGTCAAAGCAGCGACCCAATTCTACTTTTCAAACGCCGGTCGCAACCAGCTTAGCACAAGTATCGGCTATATACGCACATATATATCTATAGATATAAACACACACATATTTATATATATAGAAATAGGTTTTTGCAACATTTTGTACAACAACAACAACAAAAAGTTGCAACATTATCGCCGCTGTTTTTGGTTAGTTTGCAGCCAATGCTACATCCTGTGCAACCTTCTACTTACATATACTATGTGGCTATGTGCTGGCATTGCAAGTATGTAGGCATTGACGCGTTTGCTGCTTAAGTCTTTCGTTTTGTCGGCATAAAACCAGTTGGATTTTAATTGAATTTATGCTTTTAACTGATTTGTGACTGTTTCCATAATTATGCTTATTTGTTGTAATGCCAATTTTGTTGCTTTATAGTTTAGGCTGCTTTTCCGAATTTTACACAGCTACCACCTTTTTTTTTGGATTGACTTGTTGTTTTATGTGCGGTTGCCATATCTTAAATTTTGATGTTTGGTTAGCAGTGGCAATGCATCGTCGGCTTATATAGTTGTTGTTGTTGTTCAATGCTTAAAAATATAAGTCAAGTCGGCTTTTTACAATTTATTTTTATTTTTTGTGTAAGCCTTTTGCTTTTCTTGTTGAAAAGAGAAATTTGCATATTTTTCTCTTTGTGGCGCGGTAAATCCGCAGGCGTTTAAATGTCATAATTTACACTTTTTTCACTACATTATCTTTGCTATTGAATGCTGTGGTCTATGGCAGACATATTTTTTACATATTTATGTAGACATTCATTTTTCGCTGTTGTTTTAACGTTCAGTTTTAATTACTTTCCAGTTTCCTGGCGTTGCTTAGAGTAAGTTAGAATCAGTTGGTGCTATATATCATAGTGATCCAATCTAAACAATTTCTTCGGAGATTGGATTATTGCTGTAGGCAATAATTCACACCAAATTTAGTGAAGATATCTCGTCAATTGAAAAAGTTTTCCATACAAGCACTTGGTTCCGTTGATGATCATTTATATATATATTTTTTTTTTAAGACTCCGACGTTTCCTTCTAGGTGTTGCAAACTTTATAGCAAACTTAACATACCATGTTAAGTGTATAATAAAGCCATCATTGCTGAGAAAATACTTAAGAAACAAACTTGATTAGTGATGAGAAGCATTTATTTGAATAATTAAAAGAACTCTCACAATTATTATGCTAATAACTTCAACATTGACACAGAAGTGATTTTAGCAGTGTGTGCGCCAAATTATAGTGAAGCAGAATAAATAGAGTAAATAAAGCAGAATAAAGCAAATCAAGAGAAACTAACGCAGATAAATGGCAAATGGATTTATTGAAACAAAATGTCAACAGTTTTATTCACGCTGAGATATTAACATGAAGACCTATCTTCCTATACATTACACGGTTGCTAATGGCAAGTATGGTTCCATTGCGTTCACGATAGTTGGATGTATGCAACTGGAACGGTTTCAGATTTATATTCTGCAAAGTTATTTTTACTCGCCACCTTTCCTTAATATAATTTGCAGTTGGCGGTAAGACGAGCAGACAAACAGATATCCGGTTATCAAGTTGTGCCGTCATCGTGATCATTTTATAATATACTATAACTCTACATATATCTCGATTAGTTTTAGGTATTACAAAAACCAGTTAGCGCAACATGCTGCCAGATTATAAAACTACTAATTACAGGTCATAACTATAAATCACATATTTGAAAGGCATGTTCTCTATGTTCTACATAACAGGAGCTGTAACGAAATTGCGCAAATATGCCCCAAAATATAAGAAAGCTGGAGACATAGACAAACATAGCAAAATAAAGCCAGCAAGCAGTCGGAAAAAGGCGTGTTACAACAATAAATAATAGCAAAACTAAATGCGCGCTTGTGCCACTGAAACGCCTTGCAATTTATTTGCATTTATCTATGTTGCAAGACTACAGCAAAAGCAACTGGGTCACTAGAACTGACTGAGTTGGTATGTAAACATGTGGTTCAATAAGACTACCCAGCGCGCATTTGAAATAATAGCAGAGCTTACCTGAGAATGATTTATAAATTGCTGTCAACTTAAGTTTTAATTCGATTCAGTTTAAGCTTTGGATGAGACGAAAATTTTTGAATAAATTTAGAAATAATTGTTTATTAGGCTTATTTTTCCCAAAAAATCCGTTAAAAACGTCGAAAAAATTCAAAATTTTAGTAAAAATAAAAAAAAAATCTAGAAGAAGAAATATTAATATTAAGTTTTTTTACGAAAAATGAGAATAACAGAAAATAACATGCTAGTAGAAAATTTTTTGAAATTTCAGAAACTAATATTTTTTAAGCACATAGTATTTTTAGAAATTATTAAAAAAAATTATTTTCTATGGTTTATACTATTACGTCAAAATACCAAAATTAAAAAACTTATAGACAATTTTTGAAATTTCAAAAACTAAAAGACATTTCATACATATTTTTGGAATTTCTTTTTTTTATGAAATTAGGTATTTTTTATTAAGGTTTGGTGTGAAAATCCTAAATTTAAAAAAATTTTCTAAAACATTAATATTTGAGTCAATAAAATTCAATGAACCTATCTTTGTTTACTGGGTAATCTACTAAAAAATCCTTTCACAAATGCACATACATGCTTGTATTTATTATACATATAAGCCCGCACAGCAGGCTTCTTCACGATTTGAAACAGATCCCACTTTAAATTAACCGTTTACATTCGAAGTGCGAAACTTGTCAATTGCGTAGCTGTGGGCAAAAACATGTGCGACAATGAGCCAGATAACCTGAAATCAATCTAAATATTGTATATACAAATATGTTATACATATTAAATAGAACAGGATGCAGCTGCGTCTGGCAAGCAAGAGTAGCAACAGCATTTATCATAATAACTATATACATGCAACTACTCTGTTCTTAAGGCTATGTATATGCGTGCGTATGTTAGAGTAGAACTATAAATATTGAGCTGCGACGTGTTGCCATAACTGCCACACCTGCGACTAGCCAACTAAATTGACTGAAAGGATGCACTGGATTAAAGTGCAAACATATATGTATGTATATTCTTTGCATTTTAAATAAGCGCACAGTCTGGTAGGCAATATTTACGAGTGTCAAACCAGTTTCAGCATCCCGATGAACTGCAGATAAATGCGTTATTCCACATTGCTTGTACGACACATTTTCAATGCAATAAATTGAAATTAACCGCCAGCAGCGAGTCAAGTGTATTGGCCTGCTTTCAGAGTTGTATTTTCTAACAAATTCCACCTCAAATTGATATATATGTGTGTGCGAAACTTTTCAATCAATTTCTTCGCTATCAGAATTCTCTACATACGAGCCTAACGATAAACGTCTCACGCAGTCCGAAGTAATTGTGAAGTGCTGCTTTTAAACTGCCGTCGATTTTCTTCAATTACGCGTACGCGAACAGTCACTACGACCGCATTGTTTTGTCTGTTATATTTTGAGCCAGTTTGCTGTGCACTGTTTTCCGCACAGGTAGTCTTGGTAAGCTGATTGGCCTCCTGATTGGCATTATTAGTGTGCTATTATGTAATCATCAAATATTGTTGCAGTTGCTGTTACACTTAAAGACAGCCAATGCAGCAATGATGCCTCAATTTACTCGCTACCGAGACCACTGCTTTTCTCAGTTTTGTATCTCTTTGTTGCTTCAATTTATTATCAACTCTTTAGTCTATCTAAGTGTACATCTTTATTGACTTTAACTCTTATACTCCACTTGACTTTGCATACGTCTCATGCCATGTCATTTGAACAGTTTTCAATGTTGAAGCAATGTTAATACTTATATACTATTATACATAGTATTTTGTCGTGCGAGCTTCTGGAATTGATCGCTTACTCTAATACTGCTTCTTAATGCCTATTATTTGCCTATTGACATACCCGACGTGTTAGTTTTCCTGTTAAGTGCATTTATATCTAATTTTCCTGAAGCTATGTGATAAATTTATGCTTAAGTATATAAATTTAGCTGCGTCTAAAAACTCGTCTGAATCGATAAATTTTACTGACTTTATTGTGTGCGGAATATATATGTATGTAAATATAGTCGTATAATCGTATAGAAAATTTCAAAAAATACATAAATACTAAGTGAGAGTACATCTGCTTAATTAAAAAAAATGTTTGAAATTACATGGAAAGTCGTTGTATTCAAATATATTTTATGTAAAAATCACAATTTTTTTAACAATCGTCTAACTGTTATAATTTGTTTAATGACATTAAACGGCATGCAATTATTGTCTATATACATAGGTGTGAAACTTGGCTACAAATTCCCTAAATGTAGGCAACATTTATCTTTGCCTGCTAATCCTGCCTATTTTTAGGGTGACATTAAGTTATTTTAAATTTGAGACCGAACATTGTAGGGCTTTTTTATTTACATTGGCAAAACACCTACAACTACTATCTTTTGATATGTCACTCGAATTAAGGTTAGTGGATCGGAAAATGTTCAAAACAGCTGGCTGAATATTTGTCACTTGTTGCTTTTGTAGTCATTTCTCCTTGGAGCTTAAGTTCGGTATTCGATAGAAGCGCATTATGCTCTTCGCTTTTTAAAGCTCACTTAATAAGACATTTTATAATCATGGATCTTTTATCACCGCTAACAATTTTTTAGTATCAAAACAAGGAACTAATTATTTTTTACTTGTCGACGTTTGACTTTCCACCGCTTAGCGTATCCATCATAATTGATAAGTGCACCTGTTTTCCATTAAGATGGTGAAGATAAATGTAGCAAAACAAGCACGAGTTAATCATGTATTCATACTTGCATATCGTTTACTACCATATGTGCATATATATCCATATCTCTGATTGAAGACTCATGCAGATATTTTTCGTGTTTACTCGCCAAAGTTGTCGAAGCTGAACAATAAACAATAGTAAAGAAAGCATACCAAAATTTACATGCAGCAAATAAGCAAACTCTCTGTTCACATAAATCAAATCATGCGAAATATGGCGAAAATATCTTACAAACTTTACTGTTAAAGCAAGGTCGACGAAAAAGTAGGGCAAAGGCTTATGAGAACTTTTGAGAATAGAGCAGTCAGGCAAGCTAATGAGAGTTTTGTGAAAACTACGTATGAGCAAAAGTAATATATATTTTAATATTTTTTTGGTGGATAGAAATGTCTGTATTTTATAATTTTAGTAATTTTTGCGTTTATTCCGAGAAGCTCGAAGGTTTGAAAAAACTATTATGGAACTACTTTCTATTTCTTGTTGGTTCTAGCCATCTTTAATTATCTACAATTATAAAAAACCTTTTTTATAATTTTGAAATATTTTTCGGTGAATTGAATTGGAATTCGTTGTACAAGATGTTGGAGAAGTTGAGCTCCAACCCCATTCGTTTTTGACAGTTGTCAGATTTAACAAAATTTTCTCTATTACAACTTGTTGCCTAAGATTCAGGTGATAGAAATACTGCAATTGTTTACTCTTCCTTTTAGCAAAATTATTAGACCATCCTAATTGTATAACCCCAAAAAAAATATTATACTTCAGCGCAAATACAAAAATAAAAGTTTTCTTTAATAGAGAGCCACTGAGAATGAATCTCATTGATTAAATTTTTCCTAGCTGACCTCCCAACTGCCATAGCCTCAAGTGAACTTAACACACTTAGCAATCTTTAGCAATGTTACTATGTACAACAATAATAACATATTAGAACAAAATATTTTAGGTCTCAACTGCGCAACACACTCATACATCAGTAAGTGTGCTTGAGCTGCCGCAGTCAAGCTTGACCCATGAAAATTGCATAGATTTGCATTTCAACGACGGCGACAGCAGGTGATTACGAAATTGATAGAACAATGCATGTGTAAAGTAATGATGAAGATAGATAGACAAATGAGGCGGACAGCAGAATGTTACTAGTAAAAAATAACAACGACAAAAAATAACAAGAAAAATAAAATAAAAAAAAAAGTTGCAGTGATCAAAACAAAGGCATAGAAAATAAAACATGCTTGCAAAACAACAACAATCAAAAAATCACAAAGAAAAGGAATAATGAATAGCGTAAAATTAGCAACTCAGCAGCTTGCCTTTGTTGCTGTGAATGTAAGCGATAGCCATTCTGGGCATAGGATTTTGCAGTAAAATCGCTAGTAATGAGTGAAAGATTTCGTAAAGAGTTGCTGCAAAGCGTCAGGTAGCATTGGTGTCGATTTTAATGGGTACTTAAAAAATGCGGTCAGAGTGGTTAGGTGTTCGGTGAAATTAAGCAACAATTTAAGCTTGATACTTGTATATGTATGTATGTGTATAAATCGAAATTGATCATTAAATTAGCGATTAAGTTTATTAAATTAATTTACAACATATTTCTTTTAGTATTATAATGTTTATTTTCTTAGATTTTAGTTGAGCTCTTCAATTAATTATTACAAAGTTAAGACTTCTTAACTGAGTGCAAGAAAAAATTGAGCATTTTGCCTGATAAAAGAGCGGGTCTGAGATGATAGGCGAGAACAAGTGCGGTTATCTACGGAACGCGTGGCAATTGGTAGGCCTCTGATTTTATATAGGTATATGCTGTATTCGGACTTATGCTAAGTCAAAGCTTGATACCTCTCCATATCATTATTGGCACCTGTTCAGACAAATAATGGTCAAGTAAGGCCTTGGTTTTTAAAATGTCATAAGACCGTAAGTAAATTGGTTTAGAAAGTCGGAAGAAAGTTTCATAAGAATAAAAAATAATAAATTAGTTGCGAACCCCTTTATGATAGACTCCGAGTTCATTCAGTTATTTCTCTTCGTTGCTAAAAGCAGTTTACACTAGAGAGATGTTGATGGCCTGTAAGACAAGGCTTTTCGATTATTTATTATCTAGAGACATCGCTCTAAGTTGTAACATATCAGGTTTTTCTTTAGTTATCTGTTTAAATAGAAATTTTAATATTCAACACATTCTTATTGCTACCTCCGAGCATTACTAATATATTTATTTTTCCTCTTTTTTTTCTAGCCACTTCACATGCCGCTGCAATAATGGGAAATTCACTGACACATGCCGTGCACCGCGGCTCTACGGCTTTCAGTAATAACAGCAACAACCACACTAGGAAATCGCGCGCTTCAACTACACCGCGGAATCAAAAGTCACGCTATCACTCAACACTTTGCGACAATGGTGACGGCGGTGAGCCGCAACGCAAAGCCAAAACATTACCAGCACGCCACAGTCGTCGGCGCAGTGAGCACACGACCAATGACATTCACGGTCATGGACGCAGTAAAACGCCGCCAGCGTCGGCGCCTCCGAATGGTGAGACATCGCGCATGCTTTTTCTACTCTATCTGATACATCGCACCTGGAATGTTGTGGTGGAGACGGTGGATACGCGCAGCAAAAGGTGAGTATGCGCACTTGTACGAAATTTGTTGAAGTGTGCACTGGGTTGAACTTTCATTTTGTTTTGATAATTTTGTAGATCGCGACGCAGTGCACCTGCTTCGGAAGGTCACACACTCACGCGACCGCGTTCTACGCATTTATACACTGAACGCGAACTGAGTTGTTCGAACAGCGATGGTGATTGTTCCATACATATCACAGATTTGGATGAGCCTGAGGTGGCTTCGTCCTTTTGCTGCTCGCAATATTCATACTGTAGTTGCAGCTATTGCTTCGATACGAATCAGAATGTTTACAATTCGATTGGCGGTGGCGAGGAGGAGTGTTCGTTGGATTCGATTTGTGAGCGAACTTCATCCAAGTGTGGCAGGTGAGTAAAACACGCAAAATAATTTTTTTTTTGGCGACAAATTATTGACATCTTGAATTATAAGCACGTACTTTGCAGTGGTTGTAGAACTGTACTCAAGTTAAGTTCAAATGTCTGCTTTTCAAATTTTAACACTGCTATTCAAACTGTAAAAAATATGTATCTGCTACACTGAGCTTCAAAGTGAATGTGTCTCAGCTATTAGCCAAGCTTTACATCAAAAATAAGATCGGTTAACCAATGCCTAAAAGCGTGCTATTATTTTGTTTACTGACTGCTAAAAATTATTGGTATAAATAAAAGTTCATTTGTTTTTTTAACACACTTTATTAAGCCTAAGCTAATCACCCATTATGGGTTATCACTAATAAATAAATACTGACTTACTATCGTTTGTAAGACTAATTATTAATTATAATATGCGTATACCTTGGTTGATAAACAAACATTCCGGAGCGTCTACGAAGTTGTTTAAAAAGATTTGTCAAATCTAAGGATCCTGGAAGTCTAGCTCCAAGTTCTGAATATTGATTTGATGTAGCGGGCAGCTGCACTTGATAAGCCGGTGCTGTTTCACTATTTGCATTAGAACCAGAGATTGGAGCAGGTGAAGTGGCTAGATAACTTTGAGTCTGGTCTGGAGCAGTATATGACAAATCTGACGTTGGTGCCACATTAGCACAGTGTGCTGGTTGTTGAACTTCATAAGGAACTTGGACAGCTGGAACAGGTACTGGATACGGAGCTGGTTGTTGCACTTCATATGGAGCTGACGCTGATACTGGACCTGAAGTAACGTAAGGTGTAGGAGTGAGAACAGGCGCTGAATAAGTGTTTGGCGCTGATGGAGCTGAGGCTGGCGCAGGATCCTGACACGTTGCAGAGTAAGAAGCAGAATCTGGAGCTCCGTAATTTTGTTCTGCGCCTACAACTGGATTTGGGACTACGTAAGGTGCAGGATTTTGTTCAATAGCAGCATATGATAGAGGCGCAGCAGCAGGTGTTGATTCTGCATTGGGACAAGGAGCTGCTTGCTGTACATCATAAGGAGATGATACTGGGACTGGAGCTGGATTAGAATAAACTGGCTGTGCTGGAACAGATGGTACTGCTGCATTTGGATACAGTGCTGTTTGCTCTGCTTCATAGGTAGCTGGAACTGCATTCTGGGCCGCATAAGGAGCAGAAGCTGAAACTCCTGCAGCGTAATTTTGAGCCTGCTCAAGAGGTGGACAAGGTGCTGGAGCTGGAGCAGGTAAAACGTCGGCAATAGGGCAAGGTGCTTTATAAGTGGACGGGATTGGTTGTTGTACGGAATAAGCTACAGAAGCTGGAACTGGTGCACTATAATTTGGACTCTGACCAGTTGCCAAACAAGGGGCTGATGCTGATTTCTGTGCTTCATATGGAGTTAAATTTGGATCCTGTGCTACTGGCACTACGTTCTTTAGATTCTGGTCAAGGGCAGTATAAGGAAGCGATGCTGGAGCAGGAGATGGTGTTGCATATAAGCATGATGCTGGCTGTTGTGTTTCATAGGGAGCTAACACTGAAGCCTGTGCCATATAAGGAGCTGAAACTGGGAAATTTTGATTCTGGTCAGTGGCCTTATAAGGAACTACTTCATATGGTGCTGAGGATGGGATTGTTTCCGAAACTGGATAAGATTTCGGTACCTCAGCAGGTGCCACATAGCTCTGACTTTTATCAAGAGTTACAAATGGTGCGGCTGCTGAATCAAGCGCTATTGTATGGGGACAAGCAGCTGCTGCTGAATCGGAAGGTGCTTGATAACTTTGGCTTTGATTGGGAACAATATATGGTAGAGGATCGGAAGCGGCAGCTGAACAAGGCGCTTGTTGTGGTGCTTCATAAGTAGATGGTACTGAAACTGTATCTGGGGTGGCATAAGGTACAGGAGCTGGAGCTGATTCAGTGTAATTTTGAATTTGATCATCAATTGCGTATAATGAAGTACCAGATGCGGACGATGAGTATTCCTGGCCTGTGTACGAAGATGGTTCCGGATCGGATATAAGATAATCTTCAACTGGTGATGAAGTAAACGAATACTCTTCACCTGTTAATGATGTTGATTTTAATGTTGGCGCACAGGGTCCTTCGCCGATAACTTTCCAGTCTATGAAGAGGTAAATAGTACAGAAATTGAATAAATGGTTTCCGGAATGAAAATCAAAATTTATATTTACGTCGCTTAGTTGCACAAATTAGCTGATTTACGAGACAGGCATTGGGCACCGTACGGACAGGTCCATCAGGTACTTGCTGAGCACAAACAGGCTTAAACAGTGCTGGACAGACAATTTCATGACAGTTTAGTAAACAGTTTTCCAAGTCCGTTTTAATAGGAACTAAAATAAATACATACATATATATTTGTTTTTAATATCGACGTGGTATGAAAGGTATCCAAATAAGGAGTATAAAGCTTACCTCGCTGTCCAAGATAAATTTGCTTGTAAATATAAGCATTTAGTCTACATTCGTTTTCGAAGTAAAGATATACTGCACCATTTGTGGCACACACGGGTAACCCACCCTCAGCACATATCGGTGTATAAAGTCCGCTTGCGCTAGAAGTGATTAGGCTCCCAACAAATAGTATTAACCACATATTTACGACTTAAAGGTTTAGTAAAGTGAATTCTTGAGCAACTGTAATTTGAATGTACTAAATTTTTCAGGGTCGCCCGCTTTTTATACTCAATTTTAATGTGGTCCAATGTAAATTTCGAATTTTGGACCTCACCACCAATGCAACTACTTATCAACAATTTATGTGCCTTTGGCTAAATGGACCAATCTAACTGTCACTGGTCTGTCCGTGTTCGCAAAGTTTGGCAAAGTGCGTTCTTCAGTCATTAGACAGAATTCAGCGTTTATCACTGAAGCTTACGCAAAGCCGGTGGTGTTCAACTGCTAGTACGTGTTTTTCGCACGCTGGTAGTCATGTTTACCAACCGCATGTTTGCGTTTATGGCTTTGGTAATGAAATCGTTGTTGCTCGAAGTTAGGGTGTTTACAAAGCATACACAACTTATGTAACTCTGTCTCTTTACTTGAATGCAAGCTTCAAGCAGTTAACAAAGTTATCTGCTTTTCTTGAAGAATATGAGTCAGGCACTGTTTTAATTTTATATAACTAAAAGTGAAACATTATTTTCTTGTTTCGGTGTTGAACCTTATTCTGGACTTCAGGGAGAAGTTATTCTCTATGGATGTCGTGGTTGGTAAACATATTTGGACGGACGGCTTCAAATACGTCGAGCCTACTGCTTTTATTATAATTTTTATGATTTTCCCTTGAATGGTCTGTATTATATATTATGAATATTGATTTCTCCACAGTAGGCGTTGTATCCACAACCCAACAGATATGGTAGTCACCAAACGGTTTTTCGTGGAAAATTGAGGGACCAAATTTATCCTATAGTATTTTATATCTTAAATGCCAATGAGCAAGCCCAGCTCTTGGTATGTACGGCAGATAATGCCTTAGTGTCCTCAGTCACTGAAGGCACTGTCAGATAATGATAATAATTTGATTGCTCAGAGATGACTCGTAGATTTGAGAGGTTTCAGCTAACTTCTAACAAAGAAACGTCTTGCTGCTCTTACACTTTTCTTACTAAAACTGTAGCTGTTTTTAATTTAACGACTGACTTATTTATTTTTTTTTATAAGCAGCTAAACTTGGTCAAAAAGTATGAACATTTTGTATACCATTCCTGTAGGGGACTTTCGAGGTTTCATTTGGAATTTGTGTATTTTCAAGGGCACCTTAAGGAATATATAAACAGTTATTATATAAGTCTGGACGTACAATATATTATTTAAAAGTGAATTTCCTGTCAATACTTAATCATAAACGCGATCTCTAAATATACAACGATCGCTGTCAATGCGACCATACCAATGGCTGTAAAACTGTAAAGCACAAGCTACTAGCATTGACACAAACCACGTTGTGTTACATAATGCGAAGCTTTCTCTGAATAGCTCTTGTGGAATACAAAAACAAAGCTCGGCTTTAAATATCAAAATTTTTTATAGATTATTTAGCAATTTATGATAAAATAATTTTAGAGGGATAATAAAGAGAAAAGTGATTACTGTGAAATAATTATATTCCCTATTATAAGTCATTATACATATTCAATAATACATTCAATAAAGAATTTAAAATATGCTTTGGAACGAAAGAAGAGTTTTAAGATGTAAAGGCGATCGATTTAATCCTATGAATGCCTAACTGACACTTTGTAGGTTATGAGCAGCCACGTAAAGATAAAATAATGAACTAAGGATTGGTTTTTCATTACATTTTTCGCAAAGTCGGTTCTTTCTTAGCAAAGTTCACGTTCACGGAAGCTTCATAAGCATAGTGACATCGTGCTCCAAAGGACGACCGTCTTTAAAAAGTGCAATTCATACAGTAAACAAATTAGTAAAGAGAACATCGATGTTTCAAGTTGATTCATGCCGATAGTCTAGTAAAAGCGTTTTCTTTCGATAATTAAACTTGAACCATTTGTTGTTGCTAATGAAGCAAACACATTTGATACAGTAATATACAACCTTATTGGTGAATTAAGTGTAATATAGACAAAGAAAGATTGGTTGAGCTGTAATATATTTTTTTATTGTTGTCTTCGGAAAATACTTTAAACATTTTGTATTCATTGATAATATTTAACAGCATTGGAATATGGGGGAAGAATAGATGCGGGTGCTGGTGCAGGAGCCGCATAAGTAGCCGGTGAAGAGGCAGCATAGGATACAGGATCTGGAGTTGGGGCTATATAAGAGACAGAAGCGGCAGCTGGTGCTTCTGCAGCGTAAGATGGCTGAGATTGTTCAGGTGCAGCATAGGACACCTGAGCTGGAGCTGAGGCTACATAAGGGGCAGAAGGAGGTGCTGGAGCTAGTGCTGTATAAGATGGCAGTGGATAAACAGCGGCATTCGGTGCTGGAGCTGCATAAGATGGCTGAGCAGATTCAGGAGCAGCATAAGATGCCGGAGCTGAAGCTAGAAATAAAGCAGCCCAAGGTACAGGAGCAGGGCCCGGAGCCGAATAAAGTTCAAAAGGGGATGCTGGGGCTGGCGCTGGCGCTGTGTAGGATGCCAATGCAGAAAGAGCGGGAAGCTGTGCTGGTGCTGCGTAAGATGGCTGAGCAGGTTCAGGAGCAGCATAAGACGTCGGAGCCGGTGCTGGAGCTGCATAAGATGGCTGAGCGGATTCAGGAGCAGCATAAGACGCCGGTGCCGGTGCTGAAGCAGCGTAAGATATCTGAGCAGGTTCAGAAGTAGCATAAGACGTCGAAACCGGTGCTGGAGCTGCGTAAGATGCCTGGGCAGGTGTATCATAAGACGCCGAAGCTGGAGCCAGAATTGGAGCTGCACAAGGAATAGGGGCAGAGCCCGAATAGGATGACAATGCAGAAAGAGTGGAAACCTGTGCTGGTGCTGCGTAAGATGGCTGAGCAGGTTCAGGAGCAGCATAAGACGTCGGAGCCGGTGCTGGAGCAGCGTAAGATGGCTGAGCAGGTTCAGGAGTAGCATAAGATGTCAAAATCGGTGCTGGAGCTGCGTAAGATGCCTGGGCAGGAGCTGTACAAGGAATAGGAGCAGAGCCCGAAGCTGCATAAGGTGCAAGCGCGGATGCTGAGGCTGGCGCTGTATAGGATGACAATGCAGAAAGAGCGGAAACCTGTGCTGGTGCTGCATAAGACGAATGAGAAGGTTCAGGAGCAGCATAAGACACCGGAGCCGGAGCTGCATAAGATGCGACAGATTGTGTTGTTGCTAGATAAGAGGATAGGGCTGGTGAGACACTTTGGCTTGGAACAGCATAAAAGGAGACCGGTGCAGGTGATTGTGCAGGAGCAGTATATGCTTGTTGTATTGATTCTGGTACTGAGTAAGCGGCCGGAGCAGGTGATGGCGCTGCATAAGCAGCTGGGGCTGGATCTGAGATATGTTGCGCTGGAGCTGTTTCGTAAGGACATGATGGTGCTGCTGGTATGGGGTCTGGTGCAGCATAAGTGACTGGAGTGGGAGCAAGAGATGCATAATCAACCAGAGCTGGAGCAGGAGCAGGTGCTGCGTAAGTAGCAAAAGAACGAGGAGATGGTACTGGAACTGGCTCTGGTGCTGAATACGGAGCTGGAACTGGTGCTGGTGCTATGTAGGGTGCTGAGTCCTGAACAGTCGCAGCTGGTGCATACGGCAATGTTTCAGAAAGTGGGGCAGTTGCCGCTGCATTAGGACACGGTACTACTGCCGGAGCCACGTAGGAGGACGCTGGTGCGGACGCTGCATAAGTCGTAGGTGCTGCAGCTGGTGCTGAATATTGATAAAAAGATAGCTGTGACTGCAGGTCTGGAGATGGTACAGGACTCAGATAACGTGGCAATGTAGATGCTGGTTGCAGGCTATAGGTGGCCGAATTGGCGGATACAATAAATGCACAAATTAAAAGAATGAACCGCATTTTGAAATAACTTTTTTGCTGAAGCAACTGAGGTAATTTGCTGTGAAGTCGTTTTGTTATACTACCGAACTGGTGGCCGTGAACCTTTTATACCCAATTACATGTCAAAGACTCATAGCGTGTAGTGAAGAAATTATACTTATCGGGTTATGTGCCTCCGTTACATGAGAACAATCTGTCTACTCCTTATCGAAGGCGCTTTAGAGCAGTCTACGTTCAGCGCACTTGTGGTACGTTGGCCTTTAATCGTTCTATTGTACGTGCTTCTTGGCTCTTGAAATTCGCTTAATATCTACTCTAGTACCACATTCTTCTGCGCAGAGCAAATAAACAAACGCTTGTGTTTTAAAAAATATGTATGAATGGAATGCTTCAGCTATTTGTTCACCAATATACGTGCCCTAAACGTGTTTGTTCAAATAGTAATTACAAATAAAATATATATTTTATTTTGTTTATTTTCAGGTGAGTGCACGAAATGTCCGACCATTTCACTCTGAAATCCATATTTTTAATTACCACAACTGAAATGGTAAGTCATATGATAATATTATATGCTTATGTAAATCATTATTGAATATGCCTCTGGCAGCAGACAGCTCTCAAGAATTTTTTTTTTAAAAATCCATTAAGCCTGTATAGACCGGATTTGCGAATTTATTAATTCAAAAATTTTGAATCAAAAATGAAGTTTTTATTTTTTAATACCGATGTTGGGATTAGAAATCAGATTTTAATTTTTTAAACCTTAATTTTATTAAATACTTGAGATTAAAATCCGGTAGTTTATTTAATTATATAATAATAATTAAAAGTAAATTTTTGATGCGGTTTTTAGGATTAAAATTTTTTTTATTTTTTAATCCGGTTTTATTTATTTTTTTTTTTGATCCGGTAGATCCGATGGATAAAAATTTGTATTTTTTTATACTCTATGTGATGTTAGAAAATACAAAAAAATGTAAATTCAATTATCTTTTTAATGTATTATTTGCAACCCTGTTATAAACGACTTAAAATTTCTTGGTACCTTTATTTGTATCGTAAAATCATGAAGATACGTCAAATTTGTAGAATATTTTCATCAATTGATATGAAAAATTACCCTAAATTTATACCTATCTATCAATTATAGGTTCATTATTGGTTTTTTTGCCATTTAGTTCGGCCAAGGCCTAAAAGCACTATATGTATAAGCCTATATGTATAATCCATAAAGTGCTTTTTCAGAAATAAAGGAATTTTAGTACTTTTTATCCAAGATTTATTATTTCAAAACATCACTTTTCGTTAACCTAGTTTTCTAAGACCTCCAATTCCAGAAAGAAAAGACTATATCTTATTATTACATAGATACATAGATATTACATAATCATGTTGGGAATTCAGAGAATCTTCTAAAATAATAAGAATCAGCAAATAACAACACAAAACCAAGCTAATTTGATGTGTACAGATGGCAAAATCTGTATCCTTTCACTCTTCTACAAAAACAATCTTATACTTAAAATGTTGACTTTATTTAATTTAATATATTATAATTCATAATAATAACTCCAACCCAGAAACTTTAACCATTTCTTAACTACAATTTCTATTTCGATCGCTCAATAAATTTCTTAAGCAGTAGTTATAGTGATAGACAATTTTCTGAAATCTCATCGGGCTGACATTGAAAAACAATTACGTATTTCATTTTCCGAAAACCGAAAGTGGTAACATATATTAAAATCAGGTATCAGGGAAAATTTCATTTCACACCAATCAACTATAGGTATAGTTTTCCATTTAAACCTGTCTTAAGATTAAGCTCTGTTGATGAAATAAGTTCAGGCTTATAGATTTGTATTGCATTTGTTATTCTACGTTTCTCACTAAGAGCTGCTAATTTGTCAGAACGACCCCTATCGGTCCACTATAGCATATAGCTGTCATACAAACTAAACTATCGGAATGAAGTGCTTGTATGCAAAACTCTTTCATTTGACGAGGTATCTGCACGAAATTTGGCATGAATTATTTGCTAAGGCAATAATGTAATCTGCGAAGAAATTGTTCAGATCAGATTACTATAGCTTATAGCTGCCATACAAACTGCACGATTGGAATCAAGTGCTTGTATGGAACCTTTGCCTTTGTGAAGAGTATTATAGCTTCGGTGCAACCGAAGTTAACGTTTTTTCTTATGTCTATTAGAAGTTACGGAGGTTCCCGTATCTATATTAAATGTTAAAAAGTAAGAATTTCCAATTGAAAAAAAACTGCTTCAAATTTTGTTTTCAAATTTAACTTTATTAACATTTCTATATATTTAAGGAATAACTATTATAGGTATGTATATACAAATTCAATGGGTCGGGAAGTCTTACAGCTAAATGCATACACTCATACAAGAATCACATTCAAAATTAATTAAGCCGAAACTTTAGTTTACTCCTTAAGTCATCTTTTAATATGAACGTGGACCTTTCGAATTCCTATATTCGATGAGTGTATAAGTAGGCTGATAATAAAAGGGAGCAATAGATTGTAAGCCATTCTTTAAAATCAGGGGGTTACTATCAATCCATTTCGAAATTAAAGCAGCGATATCTGCTGGATATGCCTCCGAAATATCTTGTGGAGCTACAAAAGTCGAAGGCCACCAAGGAGCAGATTGCGCCGGATTTGATGATGTGGGCGTTGGTGCAGGCGAGTAATTAGCGGGATTTGATGCAGGAGCAGGTATCGGATATTGCGCAGTGTAGGCACTTATTGATGGCGATGATGTTAAAGTAGGAGCAGAGTATGCACTTAGATCTGTGGCTGGGACATGATATTGACCTGGATTAGGATAGGTGTAAGAATTGGGAGCTGGTACAGAATTTTGGTTTGTAGACACGTAAGGGTTTCGTTCTGGTGCGGTATATTGATCAGGGGCTGAGCAAGGGGATGGTGTTGGTTCACTATAGGTAGGATCTGAATATGCTGATTGACTGGGTGCGGTATGTATGGCTTGGTCAGCTGAAGGCGCGGTGTATTGACCTGATGATGAGCAAGACGATGGAGTTTCTACTATATGTTGAATCGAGTTTTCATAAGAAGCTGAAATAGGTCCCGGTGCTGGTGCAGGATAAGCCATTGGATTCAGTGCAGGTGAGGCATATGTAGCTGGATATTGTTGAGAGGGTTCTTGATATGGTGATGGCGCCAGGGCAGGAGCAATTTCGGATGTAGAGCAAGGTAGTGGAGCTGATTCGTAATTAGCTGAAGCTGGCGCTGGTGCAGGATAAGCCGTTGGATTGGGTGAAGGTGATCCATAGGCAGATGAAGATTGTTGATAGGAGTCCTGATATGTGGGTGGTGCTGGAGCAGAAACAGCTTCGGCTGTAGAGTAAGGTAATGGAGCAGGATCATAAGTGGGTTGGGCTGGTGCTGGAGCTAATGCAGAGTAAGCCGTTTGACTCGGTGCAGATAATGAATAAGCAGAAGAAGATTGTTGATAGGAATCCTGATATGGTGGTGGCGCCGGTGCAAGATCAGCTTCGGATGTAGAACAAGGTAATGGAGCAGGATCATAAGTGGCTGGGGCTGGTGCTAGTGCAGTATAAGCCGCTGGATTGCGTGCAGGTGATCCATAGGCAGATGGAGATTGTTGATAGGAGTCCTGATATGTTGGTGGAACTGGAGCAGGATCGTAAGTGGGTTGGGCTGGTGCTGGAGCAGAAACAGCTTCGGATGTAGAACAAGGTAATGGAGCAGGATCACAAGTAGCTGGGGCTGGTGCTAGTGCAGTATAAGCCGTTGGATTGCGTGCAGGTGATCCATAGGCAGATGGGGATTGTTGATAGGAGTCCTGATATGTTGGTGGTACTGGAGCCGGATCGTAAGTGGGTTGGGCTGGTGCTGATGCAGAAACATCTTCGGATTTAGAGTAAGTTAATGAAACAGGGTCGTAAGTGGGTTGGGCTAGTGCTGGAGCTAGTGCAGTATAAGCCGTTGGATTGGGTGCAGGTGATCCATAGGCAGATGGAGATTGTTGATGGGAGTCCTGATATGTGGGTGGTGCTGGAGCAGAAGCAGCTTCGGATGTAGAGTAAGGTAATGGAGCAAGATCGTAAACAGCAGAGGCGGAAGCTGGCGCAGATGCTGCGTAATTCGATGAAGATAGTACAGAAGATGGAGCAAGATAAGAATCTACTGCAAGTATTGAAGCATATCCTGGTGTTGGTTCTTGACTGTAAGAAGCTTGACAAGTTCCTGGCGGTGGCACAGGTTCCAGAGACGCAACATAATCAGAAGATGGATAAGCAAATGGAGCAGGATCTACACCGGTAGCTAAATAAGAATTTTCGCCGGGTGATGGACTTTGATTTGCTGTTGATACATAAGAGTCAGGCACCGCTGGTGGTGAGTAAGGTGACGGACTAGTTGTTAAAGTTTGGCTCTGTGCGGTAAAAGAGTCTTGCGCTGGTGCAGCATAAGAACCTGAAGGAATTGGTTCTGGTGCCAAAGCAGAGTAATCAGCAGCACAAGCTTGAGGTGTCGGATCGTTATAGCTTGTGGCCTGGACGGGTTCAACGGGTACTGCTGGTGCTTGTGATAGATAATTTGTTGCTGCTGGCGCTGCCGTTGGTTCATATGTCGCTTTAGGCTCGTAACTTGGTAGAGGGGCCGGTGCCGGAGCAGGTGCTGGCGAGTAAGAAGCTAATGGTCGCACAGCATAAATGTCAAGAGGTGCAAAGTAGCTCTGTTTAGGTTCTGCAGTTTCCGGGCATGCACCATTGGCGATGATTACCCATTCTGAAAAATTATCGAAGAAAAATATTAATATTAGCGAACTTATTTCGGTTAGTATATTAGGAATTTTTGCCGCTTACGTTGTCTCGTCTGACAAATCAACTGATTCACTAGGCAGGCATTAGACACGGTCTGCACGGTTCCCGTTGGCACTTGCTGCGCGCAAACTGGCTGGAATATCGCTGGACATATGATTCCAGCGCAATTTGAGAAGCATTCCACAAGCGAAACTCTAGTTGGACCTAAGGCGAAATTTTTAATTAAAACTCTCAAAATTGGTTAAGAAGCAATACTCACTTGGTCGGCCAGCAAAAAGCTCTTTATAGCTAAAAACATTCAGTTTACATTCGTTCTCGAAGTAAATGAACTCGAAACCACTCTTCGCACACGCCGGCTCACCACCATCTGGACAAAGTGGTGTATCGAGCGCGCTATGTGTGGTTGCAACTAGGATGCTAAATAAAAGTAAGCGCCACATTTTTGGATCTATTGATTAACTGCTGAAACGTTTGTTGCGTTTTGCTGCCAAATTGAAGGTCGCATGCCTTATATACTCATGATGCAATTAAGTGAAGCACAACATTTTTTACTTTTTCTCCAACTTAGTTATCATTCTATGTGCTTCTTGTGCAATTAAACAATCTGACCACCATTTTGCTAAAGCAATGAAGTTTTGCCCAAATATGTGTGCCAATAACTGCAGTCTCCACTCTTAACGGTATTGTGCATATTTGTACGCTGATCAGCTGCTGCAACTACGTGCCACTAGACACATTAAGGAGAAAAAAATGCTTCAATCATAGTAGAAAATTGTAGAATACTCGTACTCGCTTAGTAAAATTATCAGTTGTTGATAATACTTTTTATTTGCGTAAGTGATTAATCAGTTGTAGCTATCGGTAGTGCACTATTTTGCATAGCAAAATATATATGTATGTGCATATGTTGTAATGTGTTTCATTCATATTTTCATCGACAAATCATTATCACTCTTTGCTTTAGCCATTTTTGCTCGCTTATATTTGACATTTCAATGTCAACACTTTGTTGTTAATTGCTTGTTAATTATTTAATCACTTGCTAATAAATATAGGTGAATGACAAGTTGGTATTATGATAATTATGTATGTATTTGATTATTGTTGAACGTGGGTAATTAAATCATTGCAAATATTTGTTTTTAAATTTTGATATATTTTTTTTTAATATCTGTACGAGTATTTGTAGTTATAGAGTTATACGATCATATATTTGAGACACTTATGTACAATATATCTTGTAAAGTGTTCGAGCATCTAGTGGAGCTTCGACGATGATAAATTAAACTGAAATGTAGAAGCACTGATATTACTTCAAAAAGTAAACAGACGTTGTAGCTGCTCAATTCTTATGATATTGTCTTCATAGAATAATAATCATAAGGAATCCCACAGTTCACAATTTAAAAGTCTCTCTATCAGTTTCCGATGTTTTCGTAGGACAGTCTTACTTGAAGACATAATATACAATATATATACATAATATTTATTCACGATAGCTTCATAGGAATCAGCATAGTATAAGCACCTGAATGTTTTCTGAAAACTTGTTTAGTTATTATTGCCAATTACTGCATGCTCTGCTAGAAAATATGAATATATGTATCTTTCCTGAGGAAAGGATCGACGATTATACAATAGACTATTTTATTAATCAAATCAAATATCAAAGAAAGTTCTGCACTTCATATAGAAATGGTCCCAAAGTGACTGTGAAAGTATTTGGTTATTTGCCAAAACAATTTTATACATGTTGCATACTACATACATATATTTTAAATTATTTCAATTAATATTCACCTTAATTCTTCAAAAATTTCGCTTAAACCCCGACCAACCTCAATAAAATAAAACCAACTCTTCCTCATGTCTGTCACTCAGCATTTAAGCAGATCCACCGCACATCATAAGCACATCATGTGACATTTTTAACTTGACATAATAGCGTCACTGTTCATATTTGCACGCTCACTGCGCTCGTCAATTATACACACTCTCGCTAAGAAATTTTCAACCAACTCACTTTGGCTGAGTTACCCCAATCCGTGTTTGTGCTCATTTACGAAAGCAAAAAATATTCGTATTGAATTAAGTAAAATGACATGCGACAGGTGTTAGAGCTGGTGAGAGTATAAGTGAGCGCGGTTGAGCGCTGGCGAGTGTCGTAGTTTTACGAAATAAAGCCGGCAGGTTTTTGTGCCCACTAAGTCGCTGTTTACTTCAAGCGGTTGCACAGTATTTACTTTTGTTAGCCAGCTAGTGATCAAGCTGAGCGCAGGTGTAGCGGAGACAACATACCGTTGTGAGTGTACCAAAATACAGGTGTTAGCGAGAGCGCATGAATTAGAGAGTGAGAACTTGTTGTAGTGCCAAATTGAGCCGCTGATTCGCTAATACGACGACGGCATGAAAACATAAACAAACGACAAGTGAGCGGCAACTTGCTTGGTGTTCTGGCTAACTGATCTAAGCCAAGTTTGATATGTTGGTGCTGCATGCTTTTCAGTTGTGTTTTTGCGGCGTTTCGAGTGATACGTGTTTTGCGCTTAAGTCGGTTCTACAATTTTCGTTCAATATTTTATGTGTTTATGTTTGAGAAGCTGTTGTCTTCTTGGAAAATTTCTGATTTCCTCGAACTGAGAAACATTTTTTTTTTCATATTGTTGAAATGTACTTGAATTTTGTAGCGCTGTATTACAATGTTGTGGTCACTCATGGCGATGATAAAACAAAGTAATTGTGCAGAAAAATTAAAATCTTAGCTGCAAAAAATAAAGGTTACTAAGTTACAAAAGCGAAAAATGCTCCAAACTGCTGATGTCAAAGCAATAACTATTTTATTGATATTACGAATATATTAGAAACCTACAAAGAATACTTAAAAAATTCCAAAAATTTCAAAATCAAAACATGATTGTGAATTCTTAAATAGAATATAGCAATGCGAATAATTTAAACAAAGAAATTATTGGTTATTTGAAACTAACTGAGTTGTGCGAAAATGAAAATAATTTCCTTTGTAAAAACGAAAAATTGTGAAATTATAATTTAAAAATAATTTAAAAATATATTAAAAAAAATTTTTTTTTAAATTACTTTGACAAAAAAAAAATATTTAATAAACGCTTACAATTTAATATCCGGAATATTCGAGACGGACACTCAGCACTAGATCGGCAACCTGATGTTATAGTATTCAAGAAATTTATTTTTCGTGCTTGTGAAGGTATTTATAGGCTTTAGAATTAATTTTTTCTTACAAAGTACCATACATAGATTAAATACACTGTTATGTTAAGAAGTTGATCCAAACAGGAATCACACTTGGACAGCTTAGAAAATATAAAAATTTTAATTTTAAGTTGATCTCAAACGAAACGACAGAGTTATTTTGTCGTTGGTTTTTACTTCATAGCATACTCCTGCTTAGTGCGAGTTAATTTTTTCGAAGACCAAACATAACCATTTCAGCTTGAATTTAGAATCTTAAAGATCATTTTATAAAATTTGGGAGTTCTTTGACTTGTCTGCCATATTAAGGCTAGAGCATTGACGCTTCGCAAGACTTACTAAGAGCGCTGTTTTTTGACCATTTTTCTTCATTATTCTTGCTTTTAAAATGTAAATGTTGCTTCGGTGGCGAGAATTTGCTGGTTTTGCGGTTCGGCTCATGTAACTAAAAGCAAAATATATACGTGCTTTAAAGCGAAGCGGTTCAGATAGAGAAGAATGCTAGATCTGTTAAATTTAAAGAGTTTGCGAAGTAATGAGCTGTATCGTACGTGGAATACTCTTTCTTAGAACCTATTTATTAGGGTTCTGAATCTGAGAACATATGCGCCGCATTTTGGGAAATGTTACAGGGATTTATCTGGAAGAGCGGCATGTGACACAAAAAGTCTCTGTTAGCTACGTGGTTGTCGAGTATGACATTACTGCAGACTTTATTACATTTATGCTTCTTGTTTCAGCGATTCTGAATACTATTCGATTAATTAAACTGTCAACGAAACCGCACATCAAATATTTAATTACTATATATCTATATATAATATTATGCAAATTTGCTTTAAAGCCTTTCGTGAAAGGTAAAGCATGCTTTCGGATATTGATTTATGCCGTTCCCGTTAGTTTTCATAAATCATATATAAAAATAGGTAAAAACTGGTCAGCACCGCTTTGATGCGTAAATTGGCATACCCAGACTGCCGTATGATGAGCTGACCTCCATTACGCTGACACACACATACATATATACACATATACCCATTAAAATATAAGGTATTATAACACATTCGATTATATACCCATTGCACATTTTCACCAATTAAATGCGATTGACAGCGCAAACAATAAAAAAGATGAAATAAAATAATGAGAGAATGTTTGTTAGTTTTCTAGCCTGCGGAAATTATCTAACTCGAGCGCTGCGAAATGTGAAACGTGTATTTCGAGAATGCACTTACCAGCTAGACATATACAGTTGTATATGGGTATGTGGTATATATGTGCATATGTATATATATATATATATATATATGTGTATGTATGTGTATTGGCGCTGATGCATGCAATTGATTAGAATTGCTTGGTGGAAAAAGACGGAAAAGTCAGGAAAACAAGAACAGTAATCAAAAATCTCGTCATCGATTACGCGATGCACTGGATGCTGCTGTCATTTCCGAGCTACTATATTGTATATACATATATGTATGTGTGTGTATATAAATACACATATACATGCAACCTTGCATATATGGTTTCATATGGGCTAATATATTTATTGAATAAAAACGGAAAATCACTCAGCAGCTAAACATTCACCGCAAGCCACACGACACACACACACACTTGCACATGTAAGCATGTATGTATGTGATATACGCAGAAGTGAAGGCAGAAGCCGAAGAGCTGCACACTTCTTGTACAACTTGGCTGTAGATTGGCTTGGAACCGGCCTAGTCGTTGCATTCACTGCATTCTAACGGTAAAACGAGTACAACTTTTTTATTACGAAAAAAAAGCTGTTACACACATATACTTACATACGTACATAACGCGCGGCTGACTAACTAACTGCGCGACGGTGCATTGCATTAGTTTCATTTGCAACAACAAAAACACACAACATGAAGACGAACAGATTGGCTGTTAGATTTGCTGTGACGCAGCATAAGAAAGAAGAAGCGAAAAAATTCTGAAAGTAGCCGTGGAGTAAAGCAATTTATTTCCACTTACCGCATACATAAATTCATATACATAAATATTAAATACACATACAAGCAAATGCCCGTCAAAGCAGCGCTAGAACATTGCACAAGAAGCAGAATCCAAAACAACAACAACAACAACATACACCTTAGCAAAACTGAGAATATGCTGAAAGGCATACCAGCGCCATTAATAGCAACAATAAATTCTGAATAGACGCGCGGCAAGAACAACAACTGAAACAGCAGCAGCAACAAACACAGCAGCGACAGCCGCACAGCAATCGATGTTGCAGCGTTGGAAGTAGCAGCAAGCTGCTAACGCCACGAGCGTGCGACGCCCATCGAACGGCAGCAGCCAATTGTTAGAACAAATACAACAACAACATTAGTTAGTATAGCAACAGCAACAGCGACAGTGACAATGACAGCCACGACTGGCAACAACAAATTACAGTGTAAACAAGCATGCTTGCCCCATTTTTTTTTTGACGTAAACTATGCCAAGCCACCAATTTTTTCGGCCAAATGCTCTTGTTGCACATGGATTTGACCAGCGGTACTGACAACACAAG